CTATCCTGTTTGTTATACACCATTTTTTTTTATTCCCTCAATCTCGCTCTTCCATTTTTCTATCCAAGATTATCTTGCAGTTCTTTCTTCTTCCATGAACTAGCACTTACCATCTCTCTATCCTAGACCGTTATACAGCATATTTCTTATTCTTTTGATCTTACTTCTACCATCTATCAGAGATTCTTTTGAAGTCTTTCTTCTTCAGTCATAGTTCCACCAACTCACTTACCTATCTTCTTAAACGATCTACCTTTCTTTTCTTTTTTTAATGCACCTGTGAAGGTGCGGGTTAGAATATTGATCTTCAGTAACCCATGCTTGTCGTAAGAGGCGACTAACGGGATTGGGTGGTCAGGCTTGCTGTCTTGGTTGACACATGTCATTGGTTCCGAATCGCGCAGATCGATGCTCATGCTGTTGATCACTGGATTGTCTGGTCCAGACTCGATTATTTACATACCGCCGCCATATAGCTGGAATATTGCTGAGTGCGGCGTTAAACTAAACTCACTTACTCACTCTTTTAATGCTCGTTGTCTGATAAGACCCTCTCCAATATACCCTTATCTGATAAAACCCTGTCAGTAGGACCCTCTCTGATAGTACCTCATCAGTAGGACCCCTGTCTGATAGTACCTCATCAGAAGGACCCCTGTCTGATAAGACCTCATCTGATAGGACCTAATCTGATAGGACGCTCTCCGATATAACCTTATCTGATATAATCCTGTCAGTAGGACCCTCTCTGATAGGACCTAATCTGATAGAACACCTTCAAAATGATCCTCTCTGCTAGGACCCTGTCTGATAGGACCTAATCTGCTAGGACCCTCTCTGATAAGACCTCATCTGATAGGACCTAATCTGATAGAACACCTTCAAAATGATCCTCTCTGCTAGGACCCTGTCTGAAAGGACCTTATCTGAGTGGACATCTTTAATAGGACCCTCTCTGCTAGGACCCTGTCTGATAGGACCATATCTGATGCAATGTCCTTCAATAGGACCCTGTCTGCCAGGACTCCTTCAATAGGACCCTCTCTGCTAGGACCCTGTCTGCTGTGACCCTGTCTGACCGAACTCCTTCAATAGGACCCTCTCTGATGCATAGTCCTTCAATAGGGCCCTGTATGCTAGGACCCTGTCTGCTGGGACCCTGTCTGACCGAACTCCTTCAATAGGACCCTCTCTGATGCATAGTCCTTCAATAGGGCCCTGTCTGCTGGGACCCTGTCTGACCGAACTCCTTCAATAGGACCATCTCTGATGCATAGTCCTTCAATAGGGCCCTGTCTGCTGGGACCCTGTCTGACCAGACCCCTTCAATAGGACCCTCTCTGATGCATTGTCCTTCAATAGGACCCTGTCTGCTAGGACCCTGTCTGACCGGACTCCTTCAATAGGACCCTGTCTGCTGGGACCCTGTCTGACCGGACTCCTTCAATAGGGCCCTGTCTGCTGGGACCCTGTCTGACCGGACTCCTTCAATAGGACCCTGTCTGCTAGGACCCTCTCTGATGCATTGTCCTTCAATAGGACCCTCTCTGCTAGGACCCTGTCTGTTGGGACCCTGTCTGTTGGGACCCTGTCTGCCAGGACCCCCTCTGCTAGGACCCTGTCTGTTGGGACCCTCTCTGCTAGGACGTGTCTACAGGGAGTACCCAAGTTGATCATGTCCTGCAGCTCGGCAAGCAGCAGCTTCATCACACGTCTATACAAAGTGAGTCACAACGACAACAATAAAGCCAATCATAAAAGCAGACGAGAAATAACGACACCATAAAAGACTTGGTAACACCTGTGTGATGCATTGTCTCAAAAGTTATCTTCATTGATTTGCCAGTAATTTCTCCTACCCTAGCCGCCACATCCTTCAACCATCCTATCAGGAAAGCTGTGCGGAGGCCACACAAGCAAAACATACAAAACTTGTAATTTCCTTCCAAATTAGAAAATCATGACTGTAAGCCTTTCGATCCCTACCTCTAAAGATGGGTGGGTGAGTTTTTAAAACTCAATATGAATCTCTCCTAATCAATTGATTTTAAAGGACCTTCCTATCAGATGTCAGCAGTGGTGAACTTAAATTACTTCGTGTCGCTCACAAGGTTTAACATCGCCCCACAATAGATGCTCTGCGTTTTTAACAGGAAGGCATTCAATCACAAAAGTTGTTTACCAATTTGGAACCATTTGACACCGCGTCTATAAGAAGTCAAGTGAAACAGCTAAAGATTGATTACATTTTAAAGCATTGTATAATTTCTATCAAATGAAGTTCCCAAAACTCATTTCATTGGGTATACTTAGACTGTCCATAGATGGTTTAAACTGATCTAAAATATTCCAGGATTCTCTGTTTTTATTCCACCCTAGGGAGACAGTGATTGAGGCATCTGCAGTTCTGCAGGGTAGCAGTGAAAAGTTGATTTTCGAAAACCTGAAACGTAGGATTCTGGGTTCGAATCCGAGATTGGTCGAGATTGTGTCTAGGTTTGACAGCACCATTCCGTTCTGGGGTGATATGACTGAAAAACTGTTCCAAGCATCGATAATCCAATCTATTGTCGGGGTGGTGGGGTAGCCTAGTGGTTAAAGCGGTCACTCATCACACCAAAGATCCGGGTTCGATTCTCCACGTGAGTACAATGTGTGAAGCCCATTTCTGGTGTTCCCCGCCAAGATATTGCTGGAATACTGCTAAAAGCGGCATAAAACTAAACTCACTCACTCACTGTTGCTTTTTCAAGACGAGTCCAGGAGACACGTGAGAATATTTGTTCCTTATTCATCCCTACTTCATTCTTACATGGGATACTGTTTAGCTCTGACATTATGCCAGGGTAGCTACTTGGACATAACCTAACACCTGATATCAGACTTGCTCTGGTCTTGAGGCCTGCTATTTCCCAGTAGATATCATATAGAGGCAGGATATCCCTAGTCACTAGTCACTAGTGTAGCATCAATACTTGTCACTAATGTAGCGTCAGTACTTGTCACTGGTGTAGCATCAGTACTTGTCACTGGTGTAGCGTCAGTACTTGTCACTAGGGTAGCGTCAGTACTTGTCACTGGTGTAGCATCAGTACTTGTCACTGGTGTAGCATCAGTACTTGTCACTGGTGTAGCGTCAGTACTTGTCACTGGTGTAGCGTCAGTACTTGTCACTGGTGTAGCGTCAGTACTTGTCACTGGTGTAGCATCAGTACTTGTCACTGGTGTAGCGTCAGTACTTGTGACTGGTGTAGCGTCAATACTTGTGACTGGTGTAGCGTCAATACTTGTGACTGGTGTAGCGTGAGTACTTGTGACTGGTGTAGCATCAGTACTTGTCACTGGTGTAGCATCAGTACTTGTCACTGGTGTAGCATCAGTATTTGTCACTGGTGTAGCATCAGTACTTGTCACTGGTGTAGCGTCAGTACTTGTCACTGATGTAGCGTCAGTACTTGTCACTGGTGTAGCGTCAGTACTTGTCACTGGTGTAGCGTCAGTACTTGTCACTGGTGTAGCGTCAGTAGTTGTCACTGGTGTAGCGTCAGTACTTGTCACTGGTGTAGCGTCAGTACTTGTCACTGGTGTAGCGTCAGTACTTGTCACTGGTGTAGCGTAATCATCAGTACTTGTGAACTATACTACTCAAAATAAATGCAAATTATACTACTCAAAAATCATAAATACACCCAATAATTGACTCAGTTTTACAATACCCCACAGCCATGAGAGATTAACTTCTTACAAAATGTGACAAAATCGCTAGTTTTGTAACTCTTTCCAGGTAGTATATATGACAGCAGGGGAAAATGCCTGGACATGACAAATTAATGATTGATGTTATGACCACTGACCCACAGCTTTTGAGCACAATCACAACAAAACCAATTAATCTGATCCATTTAATAGCCTTTTACAACCAGTATAGGGCAGTGGGGTAGTTAATGGTTAGTCACACCAAAGTCCTAGGTTCAATTCCCATCACAGATACAATTTGTGAAGCTATTTCTGGTCATTCCCACCTTTTTATTGCTGGAATGTGGAAGCAGTCACTCACTCAGTCACTCACTCACTCACACACTCATTCCCTACAACTTGAGTAAGTTGCTGGGGACGTGTTTTACCCACAGTTCCAACAGAGACAGATCTGACAAGAAGTAGGTCACATACGAGATCTCTTCTGTCCAGGAGAACCCACAAATCCCACCCAAAAATTAAGAAATAAATTACAATTAAAAAAAAATACAAAACACAACCGCATAATTAACTATTCATAATCAGACATCTATCCTCCAACTTTATCATTCAAAGTTTTAATTAATTTTTTCATTGATTAAAATAAAATCTCAATTCATATTCAGCTAAATAATCTGGCAATCCTATTGAAACCATTAACACCAAGAGACAGAACAATCATCAGTACAAATAGGAGGGAAAACCAATTCCAACAGCACTTTTTATCCGTGTTAAAGTGAAAGTACTTGGAGTCCTCGCGTAACCCAGTCTGCCCAACACCTGGACAGCTCTCTACACACTTCAGCCACCGAGCTTTTCATTTCGTACACATTCTAATTACTGGCGGGACCAGAACAAGGTTCTGTTCGCGCTCTGCCTCGTCAGCTCAGAGCTGCCCTGAGCAGTGTAATTCTAGCATTGGATCAGCTGACGAACCCATCCCCACTTCACATGCTCCACAAAATATTCCTCTGCACATAGAAGGCCTACCATCTGGTGGGATCTCATTGATCTCGTCTTGGGTGGGGGAGATTTTAAGGGGAGGGAGACTGCAGTCTTGGAAGCTTAAGCTAACAAAAGCTTCCAGCTTGCAAATTTTTCTTCAGTTTACTCGAATCATGCATGCATTCTTGGAACCGTCTGCAGAAAACACGCGCATGAACTGCGGCGGTTGTTTGGCGCAAGTCAGCATCTGGTCATGTGATTTCTCTGCCGTCTTGGCAGCAGAATTCCTCTGTAAACACAAACATATCATGCTGACTTACCTTGTACTGACCAGCGTCCACTCCTGTCCAGTCCTGTACAGATGGAGCTGTTTCTGGTTGTCGCAGACGGCAAAGTACTGTCCACTCAGGGAAAAGGCCGAAGCCAGGACACGATTCCCCCCATTCTCAGTCAGCCTGGAACAGACGGAATAAACTGGAGAAAACAGCCGAGGAATCCATCAATAAAATTGACTGCCAAAACGTGGCTTCGAGAACATCATCAAGCCCTTACAATGTCGAGCAAAGTCAATATTCACCACAAAATATTGACAAGCTTTCGCTCCAGTTTCCACCATGGGATTATACAATTATATAGATTTATTTGTCAAACAGGAATTAATTTGGTTCATTTCTGCCAAAATCTATACCAGCTTCACTGATAAGGAGATATCACACCAGCGAGGATTACAGCTGCCTGTGACAGTAATAAAATGATTTAAACACTCACTGGGACAACACTGTACGTCTTCTGACATACAGAGAGGGTACTTAAAGAGATGGATTAAAGTCTGCATCACTCCTCCACCTTGCATCATTAATAAAAATACACTCTGACATTTGAGACGGAGGCACAGACTCACCTAAACACTTGTCTCATCTATCTTATGTAGAAATACTAAAAACTCGCATTTCCCACTTGGGGAAAACAAGAGATTTGGATGCGAATAACCTCAAAAGTCTGTTCACTGAAAATACCAAGTTCTTGAATATGCACCTCACTGGCACTGTGGTGTTGAAATTGTCACCTTGAATCTTTATTTTTTCATAAAAAATGTGATCTGTTGGGTTTTGATATGCAATGAAATGGGTTTTACAAAAATATCTCAACATGGGAATGACTTACAGAGGCCGAATTCCCCTCACAAGATGGCTTGTACTAAAAGGCTGATGCAAATGAACACCACCACAAAAACTCTTGGAGAAGTAGCCAAGGGATCTCTGAGTTAATATTTGTCCCTTGTTTCAAAAGCTTCCAGTGCAGAAAAGGCATACAGCATCACATACATGCCCAAACCTCCATCAGGAGTCAGGTGTCGGATTGGGAGAGTGAGTGAATGAGTGAGTAATTAGCAATATTCCAGCAATATCACAGTGGGGAACACCAGAAATGGGCTTCACACACTGTACCCATGTAGGGCATTGAACCCGGTTGGAATGTGTGAAAGCTTTAACCTCAAATCAAAGGCAAAGACAGGCCTACACATACATGCCCACACCTCCATCAGGAGTCGGGTGTCAGATTGGGAGTCCGAAGCAGAACAGGTATATAGTATCATAAACATGTCCCGTTATGAAGGGTCAGATGCGTGAAGATCTGGGTTAGACTGACTGAGTTTGGTTTTACGCCGCTTTTAGCAATATTCCAGCAACATCACGGCTGGGGACACCAGATATGGGCTTCACACATTGTACCCATGTGGGGATTCGAACCTGGATCTTCGGCGTGACGAGCCAACGCTTTAACCACTAGGCTACCCCACCGCCCCATCTGGGTTAGAGCTGATCTTCAGTAACCCATGCTTGTCGTAAGAGGCGAATAACAAGATCGGGTGGTCAGGCTTGCCGACTTGGTTAGCTCATGTCATCGTATCCCAATTGTGTAGATCAATGCTCAATGATCACTGGATTGTCTGGTCCAGACTCAATTAATTACAGACTGAGTTCCGCGTAAAACTAAAATCACTCACTCACTCACTCATGTAGACATTGGGACAAGGATAAGTGTACTGAATCACATACCATCTAAGACTAATCAGGACATATCACATAAGCACTCTTAGCCAGGAAACAGCATCATCCTTTAAGGTATCCATTGTACAACCACTTAAGTTGAAACATTCAGAGAGAATTGTTAGATAGTTTATGAAAATTAAAATATTGGGAGTGAAATAAAAAAACAGCCTGGAATCTTTTCATTAATTCAAGGTCATTATGAATATACTAAAACAACTAGTTGTTTATGATCTGGAAATACATCACAACTGTAATACCAAGCTTGAGATAATTTTCCTAGCAGATTATTTCTCTGAATATTTAATATTTTCGCAATTCAGCTTTTAACGCTAACACTGTCCATGAATTCATCCTCAGGGTGTGCCAGAAACCAGATTCGAAATCCATGTCATCATGTACGACGTGACAGAGTGATGAACAAACAACTACGCCACCGTGCAAACAACAACACTGAAGATGAGCAGCAAGTCTTAAAAGCATACCACACATTTAGCAAAAAACATCTCTGAACGTTTATCATGTTGGTTATCTTGCAAACGAGGCTGAACTTGACCTCCATGTTTGAAACGCATACAACACCCAAAGGACGTAGAGGCAGGTTTATCAGTAAGTCGAGTGACCTATCAAACCGAAGGTATTAATCACCAATTTTAATGTAAGCAATGATGATATAATGAGAAACTACGACGTATCGACTCCGTGTTCGGAGATATGCAGCACTCTGTGCAGGGGAGACTATCAGCCATGCACACACCACAGCTTCATAACCTGGCACATGTTGACATCATTATCTTATTGATGGTGTTTGCGTACACTTCCCTGTTACTCCATCAATTGTCCCATCACCATCGCAAACCAACCAAGATTTTACAAAAAAGACACTGATTCCATGGTTACCAAAATAATGAAAACTGGATGCAAATATTGTTTGATATGCCATGTTTTTTCCATAAAATTTCACATGTTCACCACAAAACTACGCAGGTTAAAGTGCAAAGCATGAGTGAGTGATTTGGGTTTATCACTTCAGGGATTAGCATTACATAGTGTGTCAGCTAACTGCCAGAGGATGCCCAAATGATGAAGGAGTCAGAAGTTACCACTCTGGTGGAACCCATCCATGGGTCTGGTGCTGGCAAACCCAGAAATATCATCAAGGCAACCAGGATTCGAACAAACAATCACTGGCTTCTGGCATGCTCAAGGGATGCAACTCTGCACAGAAAATTGTGGCACCTTACACCCTATGTGCACGTTTAAGTAAATGAACCACTGGACACACTGAAATCATTCTGATCAGATTTATATCGCATTTAAACAAAAATTGAATTATTTTTTCTTTGTTTGGAATTTTTCCCATTCTGACCAGGATTTTCTGTATCAATACAGATGTTCATCTTAGCACCATAAAAGTCGTCTTGATATAGATACTAGATTCAGGAAGTGAGGCTCGTGTAAACCATCCCTTCCCCTGTACATCCACTCTTGCTGTGAACCCAACTCAGACACTGAACAGAACTTTCTCAACACTGATGGCCGCCATTCACATGAGAGGCATAGTTCAAGGTCGGAATGTACATCGATGTCAAGGACATCTTTTACTAGTAGTCATATGAATTAAAACAAAAAGTCAGGTCATTCATACAAAAATTCATGAAATATTCTTTCCATGTTTGAACTTTATCATAAGTAATTTACATGTCTAGATAAAAGTGTTTATGTTCCTTATCGTGGGCCATTACGAAGCCAGCTAAGTGGAGCAGGTCATAGAGGCTCACAAGTTGGTGAAACCCATGTGGATGGGCTTAGTGCTGATAAACGTAGAAACACAATCAGGACAAACAAGGATATTACTCACTATTAAAGATGTGTAACAACAAAGGGATGTAACTCTGCACAGTAAATATTAGCACCTTATACACCCTTGTCCTTGGGTAAATATGTAACCATACAACTGTAACTACCTGTGTCTCAAATATCTATTTGTGGTATCTTAACTGTTTGCACCCTGAGTGAGAGAGACGGAGAGAGAGAGAGAGAGAGAGAGAGAGAGAGAGAGAGAGAGAGAGAGAGAGAGAGAGAGAGAGAGAGAGAGAGAGAGAGAGAGAGAGAGAGAGAGAGAGAGAGAGAGAGGGAGGGAGGGAGAGAGAGAAAGAGAGAGGAGAGGGAGAGAGAGAGAGAGAGAGAGAGAGAGAGAGAGAGAGAGAGAGAGAGAGAGAGTGGGTGGGTGAGTGAGTGAGTGAGGTTAAACACTATTTTGAACAATATTCACTTTCAGCCATAACAGCATGATGACAAACTATCAGCCTTGAATAAATATCAGGTTACACATCAAACAGAAAGGCCAGATAATTCAAATGACAGGTATCTGATTTACAAATAAGACATAACTAAATCATCCTGGCCTAATGCTCCCTTCTCACAATCGTTAGTGCAAGACGAAGGCTTAGTTTTACTATCTCACATGGTGACTGAATGGTACGAGTGTTGCATTACAGTAAAATAAAACTTGACACCAATTCTTCTCTGAAAATAACAAATGCCCATCACATATAAACGTCAAGTCTGAGAACCTGCCGAAATAACTAATCTCCTGACGCTTATGGCAGGAATTATGGTGCCTTGGGGGCTAATATCCCAATTATTTAAATTATTTGTTACTTTTCTTCAGAAAATAAACAAATAGGTAAGTTGAATTATTATTAATTGTTTATTGCAATTTCCTAACCACTTCAACCTTAATTTACAACTGAATCAAAATATAAATTAAATATACAAAAAGCATATAGTATGTCTATATTTCTGGAATGGAACTTACCAAAAGTAACTAAAAACTGTGGAAATGGAACTGAACAGAGCAGGCAAAATAGTATAAGACTTTACACCCAATATATTGCGAATCAGTGACAAGAAACAGAAATTTTCATAGGAGGCCTAACTTACTAGCCCACATGTCACCTGAAGCTGAATCAACGTACCACCATTACCCACTCTGTCACTCCAGACACGTCAATTCAAATGATTAATTTACTTATCTAAAATCTTTAAAATCAAAGCTTAAACATCACAATGTCCTGAAGAATAGGCACAGGATATAGATTTACTATCCCACTGCCGCAGATGGTGCGATAAAATATGATTTATTTACATTTACCTGAAAAAAAGTGGATTATAATTAATAAATGGGAAAACAAACACCTGTCACAGTCTAACGAAAATATCTCTGTTAAGGTTTCCAAACCTTAATGTTTTAGAAAGCAAATTATACCGTATAAGCACCTGTTGTAAACGAAAAGTTATGTTGAACAGGTGCTTGGCGTACAAGCCTGGATAAACCACCCCCTGTTGTGTGTTAAAACACTGGGCAGGTGAGATGTTTGTCTTTGAAGCTTACCTGTATG